GAGAGTTTTGACCCCTCTAATAGAGTTGACCAAGTCAAATCAAGGGAGATTTAGCTTAGAGAAAAATTAGACATGTTGGAAATGTCTGATTGAATGATTTTAAGAGGTTAAATTGGTTTGAAATGACTTTAATCATTGATTTTGGCATTAGTGTTGGTTTAGGATTGATTTGATCAATCATGGTTGACTTGATCACCCTAATCAACCCATGGGTTTGGTTTGAGTCCAACAAGTTCAAATTAGTGATTTGAGACTAATGGAGGTGGTCTCGTGTAATGGAATGGTCATTTGAGTTTAAATAACCATTTCCACCCTTAAGGGACCATTTTGTCAACATGAGTTGACATGGTCAACCATGCATAAACAAGGCTTGAATATGAGTCCAATGCATTTATGATGATGTTTAGGATGCATTAGAGGAGGTTTTAAGGTTTTATTTCACTAGTTAATGTTGAGGTTTGGAGAAAATTCCAATTTTTTCCTTAAAGGGCATTTTAGTCATTTAGACACTGGTCAACTGTGGGTCAACCTGGATCCACCAAAAAGCAGTTTAATACTCAACATGTCATAACATTGGTTATGAACATGGTTAAGAGGTTTGGGGAAGGTCCCAAGATCAAATTTCACGAGGGTATAGTGGCATATGTTGTAAATATTTGAATGCTTTACAATTTTTGGATTTTAATTGAGTTTAGGGGGTTAGAGATCTCTGATTGGCCTCAAATTTAAAAGGTTGACCCTAGGGACATGCCTAATCAATATGCAATTGATAGACCATAAATTATGGGTCATTTGACTTGGTTTCGTGTTGATTGAAAAATCACCCAAAAAGGGTTAGGACATGGGCCTTTAACCTTGAAATTTGGTCTGAAATTTTAGATTTGAACTGAATTGTAGATTTGATTGATTGAATTTGAATTATCCAAATCAATAGCAGTCAATAAGGTGATTGTTGATGATTGGATAAAGGAAATCAAGTGGTGGTCACTATGTGACACTGTACTGAGTTGGGTAGTGTACTATATCACCTGACTACATTGTAGGGCCATAGCTTTAAGTTATTATAGATTGATGAAGATTAGGTGATTAAAGCTGATTGAAGTTTGATTGAAGATTGGATTGAAGTTTGATTGAAGAATGGATTGAAGTTTGATTGAAGACTGGATGATTGAAATGTTATTGAGTTTTGGATGGTCAACAACTGGATGATTGTCAACCATCAGATTAAGAGGAAGGAGTCTGGATGGATCTTGATGACCTTATACATAAATAAGGCGAACACTCTAGTACCATCATGCAATGTTATACAATTGGCCGGTGTTCTATCACAAGTAATAGGAGATACGTAAAGCAAGCCAGCTGGAAGTAAAGAAGAAGGGGGGATAAATATTTACATATATTTCATAAATTGAAACCCCCATTTTCAAAGGAGCAGTATGATCCTAGGCTATAAAAAATTGGCTATTATGGATAGAGAAGATCTTTAACATTATGTAGTGCCTATAGAACCGAAAGATACAGTTAGTTTTCTTTCTCTTTGAAGGTGAAGTAGAAAGATGATGGGTAGGATAGCACGAGAGAAATTTCAGGGGAAAACCAATACTGAAATCATTTGTGATGAATTCATTGCATTATTCAGAATATAATTTATACCTCCTTTAGCCCAACGATAGATGAATAAAGTTTTCATCAGATTGGAATAGCGATATAATATAGTGATGCGGTATGAAGCTTGTTGCGGATCTATTTTCATGGATTATGATTTTGATGATAGCAAACACTCTTATTTCTCTACGACTGCCTTATCTACTAATATTTCAGGTCCACAAGATCAGACTGCAATTTGGAACCATCTCAAGATTGGGTAGATTAGGTCTAAGTCGGTTTGTACCATTTTTCCTTTCTTGAGTCTATTGTATTTGGTGTGGCTCCTAATGCTTTGTAAACTTGCTCATACACACCTTGGAAGAATTTCTGACTGTTCCCTAGAGTTACTGTTTTTGGTAACATCGTCCGGGACGATATTTATATCGGCCTGGATGATCAGTTCAAAAATAGAAACCCTAATTAGGGCATCATCCTCATTAAGACAGACGTCATTAAGTCGATCGGCCTGGACGATCCTTGTATCAGTCAAAATGATAGGCTCAAATTAGAAAGAATCAGTCGTCATAATCAATTTATGTATTTTTTATTTTAGGACATCAGCCAGGACGATCTATAAATCGGCCTGAATGATGTAGCACATATATGCCTAAATTAATTTGGTAATTATGGAAAGCATTTAAGACTGATTGATACAATCACATCAGCCGAGCCGATCGCAGGATCGGCCAGGACGATGGCCTGGATGATTAACATCGCTAGACTCTATTCCGGGCGATCTTCAGGACGATTGTGCTCGGATTTGAACTAATCGGCCAGGATGATATTGTATCGACCTTGACGATGTAACCAATTTTCTTCTGATCATCCTAAATCGTCCCGATTGATTGAGCTTATTCTGTACTGATCGGCCATGATGATATTTATATCGGCCTGGACGATAAAGTCGACAAGTTGCATTAATGAGCTGGTTTTAAGATCTTCTATTTAAGCTTTTGACAATGCACTTTTGTAAGTGTCTTTGGCAGCCATTGTAGCTTTGTTCTTTTGGGGAAACTTGAAGAGATAGCTTCAAAGGGAGTGAGGAACGGGTGAAGTTTGAGAGAGGGAGAAGATCCTGTGAGGGGGAACTAAAGGGAGTGTGGAGGGGGATTCCACACGGTTGCTCCGGCAGGCTTGCACCTTAACACCGTCGGATTCAAAGCTTGTCTTGAGGGAAGTTCACAGAAGAAGAAGATTTCTTTGGTGTCAAAGGACCTGGCGACTCCGCCGCACTGGGGAAGATGGAAGTGATTTTGTAAGGGCTTCTCCGCCTAGCTATGGGGGCTAAAGGAGAGACACTTAGTTTAGTGTAATACTTAGAGGGTGCCTCCAAGGAGTGGACGTAAGTTAAGGTTTGACCGAACCACTATAAATCTGGTGTATTCTTTCCTTTATTATTTCCGTATTTAATTTTCGCATTATGTTTTCTCTGTGGTGAATCTTGGTTTGTGTTTTTGATCGAATGATTTATTTTAAAATATCGATTCACCCCTTTTTAGGTTAGCCTTGGGACTAGTTCAAAAGGGCCTAACATCCCTAACGAATTTTCAAAGTTAAGTTTACTTCATTGGCTAGGTATGCCTCTTATTTGATCCCTACTGTCGAAAAAATATATATATGACAGATTCCTACAAGGACTGAATAAGGAAGTTGAGACATCTAATAGTGCTACAAATTCAGAAGTTTTTTGAGTTAGTGAAACAGGGCAGACTAATAGAGATTAATTTAATAGTACTAACATCCATGTATGATATAAGCTCCATATATGATGTGACCAGGAGACGAACTTGAGATAAATCAAGCAGGGACAGAGTAAGTGTTAGTGATAAAAAAAAAGAAAATATAATTATTCAAGGGGAACTAGATCGATGGCGTCGACTGGTAGCTACAACGAATGTATTCGTTATGGAATAAGACTTTCGGCTCAGTGCTACCTATTGAAAGGATGATGTTTTCAATGCAAACATCTAGGACACAAGGTTGCATATAGTAAATAGAGATGAAAAACTGATTTTGGAGCAAGACGGTCTAGGCAAACTAAAGGACTAAGGACAATAGGATCGAGAGCGCATAATGAAAGATCGATAAAAAGGGCTGGTATCAGAGTTGTTAGTGGTGGTCAGAGGGAGACTGTTATACCATGACCGACATTACCTATTCTAGTGATGCCACAACTGTACAACTTGCAGCATTAGGAAGACTGACAACATTTTAAGAGTTTGGGTGGTAGGAAATTTATTTTAAATGATTGATTGACATAATATTTTATTGCATAAGTAAATGTCATGTGATTGAATGAACTATATGACTATATGATAGATATTAATTATTAATTTGAGGTGAATCCTTTCATCGAGCTTTTGATTTGATTTTGATTCCATTTGAGTTTTTTCGTACGAATTTATTTAAGAACGAATTTTTTATATACTGATTTTGTGCTTGAATCCTTAAGAAAAAAACTGATGATGATATTTTCTAAGGTGAGTAAATTATATCAATCTAATATTTTAAAAATAAATACAAAAAAAATTGAATTTTTGTTTGAACAGGAGCGTTGTGATGCCGAGCTTGTGAAGGTTGTGATGCTAGGCGTGTGAGCACAACAGAGCCAGAAGTTGTTGTAGCTGCATTGAAGTCTTTGTTCTACAATAATTTTGGATTTAGCATGCTGCGCTGCAGCACCAGGTTGAAGTGTTTTGGCACTAGGCCACTAACAATATTTTTGTACATATTAAAAAGTCATTTCTTTCCACTCGCCTCCCTCACCCTCCACCAGCACCGCCTTGCCGTAAAAGGAAAAAAAGAAAATGGGAAAGGGAAAAGAGGGGAGAGAAGGAGAATTCGAATTTTGGTCGCCATGTCACTTTACTGCTATTACAAAAATTGTTCAGATTGTGATAGGTGACTTATCCTATTCATGCTTTCAAATATTTTTATTTCGATCGTTCGATTTTTTCCTAATTGATTTTATTGCTTTATCTCCGAATTTAGTGAATTTCTACCGCATAACATTTTATATGTTGTAATACTCATTATTTTGAATATTTTGATGGGTTGTATATGTAATTTCACTAGAAAAAATAAAAGTTTTGTATTTTGTACGATTTAAAAAAAATGAAAATTTTGGTATTTTAATGTAAGCATACAATTAAACAAGCATTGCAAAAAAAAACTATTAAACAAGCATTATGAAAAAATATGGGTATGTGATTGAGTAATAACTTGTCAGTATTACTTTTACAATATTGTAATCACAATGCGTGAAAACAAGCTAAGGTTGGTGATTTAATGACATTGTCTAATGATTGACTGACCTATATAGAATGGCGGTCGATGAGCTTTTCTTTAAATACTATGATTTGGTGTTAACTAAATGCAAAGAAACATAAAACAAGTACAATAAAAACTCAATCAAGAAAACAAATATAATCTCTGAAACACTTAATCCTTCTCCTCCTTTTCATCATCAGCAGCTGTTGTTATCAGAGGTGGTTTACTAGAGTCAAGCTGCAAGAGTATGGTGCATATATGGGAGCTGCAAAATACATAGGCTAGTTCGAATTATGAAACAGTTAGCAGCTCGTAAATATGCTAGCTAATGCTTCATTGAATTCTGAAGCATAATAGAAATGTTGCTTCTGCCTCTCCATCATATGATCAATCCGGGAACTCGCACACTACTGCCAATGATGGCTCTCCCCTAAGTAAGAATGCATGTCTGACGCTTGATCCCTGAGATCAAGCCTTGCTCACATAAGGTCCTAGGGGCTTTATACCTAGGCTGATTAGAGCGGGGCATGCGAGGTACACTAGGCCCTTCCCCCTTCTACCTGTTATATGGGTTCATAAATAACAGGGGTTACACCTTTAGCACTTAAATCAAGCCCATCATACGTCTTAGGGTACTTCTTCCTCAAGATGTATTTAAGATCATAGTTTGACTCCTCGAAATTGTGCCTTTGAGTCGATGTCAATATGATTGGCCAAATCCAATTCATGAAACTTCTAATGCTCATGTAAAATGCCTATGCATAATTAACATACATATCAATTCCATAGAATAGCTTGATTTAAGGGTCATGTAAAAAAAAACTATGAATCATTGATTGCCATAACAATCCTTTAGCATAGTTTTATTCATATTTGGATCTTTGGATCTCACCACAAAAGTAAGTGTCTTTAAGCATACTATCAATCTGAATTTTACAAAAAAAAAAAAAACGTGTACTTATGCATACTATCAATCTGATCTACTTAAAATATATGATGAAAAATTATATATGACTTCTAAACAGAATCTCTAGATGATATATCTTAACAACACTCTATTGTTTGTAGATTGGCAGGTCAACCATAGATTATAGAATCACAGGATCTTAGTTAGGTTGACCTTTCATCTGTATTTAATTATAAAGCCAAATTCCAATCACAAATCTAGAATGTAGTGATATCATTAAATGATTGTATCCACGTAAGGCATCTGCAAATGAGAAATTTGAATCCTTCAGATTTTATATATATCCTAGATAGCCTACATTTTTCATAGAGGAATGTGTACTAAGGTTGTATTGGTTTTAAAAACACAAAGAGTATTATGTTAATTCTGCATTGATTAATTGAAAATTATATTAGTGTTAAAATATCAAGTGTTTTTTCATACCCATAGATTTCAATTTTTGGATTTAAAATAGTTTAAGTCGGCGGTGTATCAGACCAAATTGTTGTTCCCTCAGAACATACTCATTAACATTAATGCATATAATATTGTGTATTCATTTATATAAAGCATTATATTCTGCATACAACAATACATAACATAATACACAATAATACAAAACTTAACAAGCCTTCCTCTACTGATGACTTCCATGTTAGGAATCATGTTTTAAAAATTAATGAAACTTATTAATTAAACTTATTATTTTATTAGATGCAATACACACTAATATTTATTTGTAAACTCTCTAAACAGCCTAAAAGTGATGTGTTAGGCTGGCCCAAGGACCGGCTGAACCGCTCCAAACTAGACCAGTTCATGTATACAGAAGGCAAGCCAGGGGGGCTGAAACCAGGGAGAGAGAGAGCGAGGGGGGGCTGCTGATAGGATGGGGCCCACACACAAATTAAGTTTTGGGTTGAGGGAAAATTCAAATTAGGGGCTATTTAGGGATTAAGTATTTGTCCTTTTGCTTTAATTAATCTCTTCTTGTTAGGGTTAGGGTTATCTTGAATTTGAAATCTGAATTTGAGATCTTGTCTTTGGTTTTGGGCTGTAGACTTTGGCTAGAGATTTGGAGAGCTCAATCTTCCTCTCAAATTGAACATTCATTGTATCGGATTGTTCCTTTCTTTCTATTAGTGAATTTCAAGTGTTCTTCTTCATTTTTTTTCTTCAGATTTTGAAAAATCTGCAAGTTGGCAAGTTTTCCTTTGTTGGTGGTTATTTTCTATCATGATGATTTTATTTTCATACTTAAGATGAGTGAAAATAAAAATATAAAATCATCATTTTCTAAAATATATTTTCTATCTAGAAGGAAAAGCCGTAAGCCCTATTTAGTTAATTGAAGTTGAATATCACATTTTGTAAAACAACTTAATTTTCTAATCTCATCATTTGGTCAAGTGCAATCAGGAATCATCATTGAGTTTAAACTGCACAAATTCGTTTAAAATATTGATTTCATCTTATCAAAACATATTTTCTTCATACAACCAACCAAATGAGCCCTTACAACATTATGCTTTCTTTCTAAACGCTATCTCAAACAAGAAAAAATTGAAGAATTACCTGAAACCACAGAGCTCCAAGCAGCCTCCTTACTCATCCCCAATCTACCAAGTCTTTCCCAAACATCAGCAGCCTTCTCCCACATTTCAGAAGCAGCAAAGGCATTAGAAACCACCACATACTTGCCAACATTTTCTGGACTCATCTTGAAGAATTTACTTGCTGCAACCTTCACCATCTCAACATCTCCATGGTTTCTGCAAGCTCCAATCAAAGCTCCCCAAACCACTGAATGGTTTTTACAAGGCGAGTTACAAACTAATTCATATGCCTCATTCAACCTCCCGGCTCGACCCATCATATCGACCATCACTGCATAATGTTCCTTCTTTGGCCTGAAGCCATAATCTTCAATCATGGAAACGAAATACTTCCATCCAGTATGAACAAGACCTCCATGGCTACAGGCTGAGAGAAGAGAAAGAAAAGTGACTGAATTCGGCCTGAAACCTTCTTCTATCATCTGATGGAACAGCTCAATCACATCCCTTACTTTCCCATGCCGGCCATAACCAGAAATCAGAGCTGTCCAAGTTATCACATTTCTGTATGGCAATCTATCAAATAATTGTCGTGCATCATCCAAATTACTGCATTTCAAGTACATATCGACAAGAGCGCTGCTGACAACTATATTGGCCATCATTTTCCTCTTGATCATAACACAATGTGCTCGCCTGCCGTGCTCCAGAGAGGCCAATCCAGCACAGGCATGGAAAACTGATGAGAAGGTGAACTGGTCAGGATCCAAACCATTGTCACGCATCGAGTAGTAGAGCTTCAAACCATGGGGCTCCAAGCCCTTGTGCACGTAGCCGGAGATCATTGCATTGTATGCGAAGAGATTTGGATCAGGCATTTGATCGAACAAGTGGCGCGCAGCATTCAACTCGCCGGCTTTAGCATAAAGAATGATAAGCTTGGTGTTGAGATACTTGCCTGGGGTAAATCCAGTGGCTAAGATATGGGCGTGGATTGCCTTTCCGAGCTTGAATTCTCGCCGGTGAATGGTTTCTTGGAGGACGAGAGAGAAGGTTGGAGGAGAGATGGCCGAGCCACTGCAGCAAAGGATTTTGACGGCTTCGTCTAGTCTTCCGTATAAGCAGAGAGATTTGAAGATTTTGTGCGCGTACATAATTTAAATCCTTTTAATTAGTTTGAACATATTTAATAGGTCGTGTTCAAGGCAGGTTGGCCTGTATTAATAGGCCGAGCTCAAAGTCATTCCAAGTAATTTTATGGGCTATTTTTAAACTAAGTATGGTTTAAATTATAATTATGCAATTAACAAACGTAAAAAAAAAAATTTTAAAACTCGCCCAAGTCGCCCGTTTAACGGACGACTTATGAAACTACTGTTTTGTATCATTGAATTAAATTCATTATGTTCTTGCATTTAGTCCTAGATGAAGTTTGATCTAAAAAGCATAATATTGGATGATCCAAAAACATATAAATTTTTAAGAATTTTTAATGCTTCATAGACATATAGATAAATAGCAAATGCATCTTTTCTTCATAAAGCATATCATATAATAATTATCCATAATCCTTATTAGTGGCATTTTTTTTTAAAAAATTCACAGGAGTAACGGGCGACTTACTACTATTTCATTTTTCCATTATGCGTCGCGCATAACGGCTAGCTGAGTCGGCATAGAGTAAGTTGCCTGTTTAACGGGCGTCTTACGTTAAATAACAAGTCGCCCATTTAACGGGCGACTTTGGAGAGTTTAAAAATTTTTTATGTTGGTTAATTGCTTAATTATGATTTAAATGATGCTTAGTTTAAAAAATTGCCCTAATTTTATTGAGCATTCCTAGCCCAAAGGCCAAATAAGGCTACCAGGGGTACTAAATCAACTAATCTAACATGCTCGGTCTTTGGGCCGACTAGGCCAAATCATTGAAGTCGTTCACCGTATCTATTTGCTTGTACTCGAACAACATCGGTGAAATCTGCCAGGGATTTTACATGAACCTACCCTTATTTGAAAACCAACATATACATTTAGTATATCGAATAAACTACAACTTGCAATATTTATTTTGATAGTATGCATTCATTAAGTCTTATCATGTAATTAAATAGCCTGTCTTAAATATAGCATTTCATATGATGTTACTCCTCAACTTCTACCAGTAAATTGAGAGCTAGGGGAAGAGCGTAGGATATAATATAGTTGAGTCTCAAAACATTTCTCTTTGTTTTCTCTTCCTCCCTTTCAATTTTTAGTACTCAACCGTTTTTTTTTTTTTTTTTCAAATAGGGTATTGGTATTGCACACGAGCAAATTTGGATCCTACACTATCTATTTTATGCTTTAAGACACTTTATGATCTAAGAAAATATTTGTCAGCCTTTTGACTCAATCAAATTAAATATTTATTAATTCACAATTATATTGATAATACTTTGTTACAACATTTATTAAATTTAATATATACGGTAGATGTGCATTAAGGTGTTGAGATAATCGAAATTGTTACTAGTATAAATTCACATGCACATGAAACATCTGAATAAATTTTTAAAAAAATAAAAAATGTTATAATAAAATTTAAAATTAATTTATGACATAATATCAATATTACATTCAATATTTACATACTTACAAAAAGTGGAGCTTGAGAAAGGAAAATTTTTCATACTTGACATCACATGTGTCAAAAAAGAGTTAAAATACAGCCATTTACCCTTGATCTGTCACCTATTTACTAGTCATGTCATTCTCAAAAACTATAAAAATCCCCTCATTTCTCTTGAGAGGGGACCCAAGAAAGAAGAAGAAGAGAAGAAGAGAAGAAGAGAAGAAGAATAGAAGGATTGGAGGGAAGAAACTCCTCCACGTCCACCGTCGGAATTCTGCCTGATGCTCGAGTGATGACAAAATTCTGTCGGACGCCCGAGTGACGTCGGAATTCTGCCCGACACTCAAGTGACGCCAGAATTTTGCTCAAGTGTCGCCGAAATTCTACCTAATGTTCGAGTGACGCCCAAATTTTGCCCGATCTCCAAGTGACGTCAAAACTCTGCCCGACGTTATAACTGATTTTCATTCCATAAGTGATTCATTGTAATCTAATCATCGTAAATTTTAAGGATGAGTCTGTTGAGATAGTTGCTACTTAATTTTTTTATAATTGATATTATTGCAACTTGTATGTTTTTTATGATTTCAAATATTATTGTTTTGATTATTATTTCTCCTAACATATTTTGAAAGAATTGTTTTGCTCTTGTGTGTACTAACATTTTAGGGAAATCAAACTCCGGATTATTGAAGACTTTAAATTAAGATCAGTTTAGAGTTTATTGTAATTGAAGTGTGTATTTTCTATTTTATTGAGTATGAGAGAGTGTCATTGTAATTGAGTAATAATTGAACACACACACATCGGGGTAGAGTTTAAAATTCGCATTTTTTTAAACTGATCGTATTGTATGATATCCATTCATACGGGACGATCTGGTCAGTTATTTTCCCAGACGAGTAGTTGAAAGAACAAAAATGAAATTTTTTCTAAATATGGATCGTATGGGACTATCCCAATTAGTACATGCTTTCACGAGTACAAAATTGATGGGTCCGTTCTCGCTCAAAAATATTTTTTCAAAGTATGGATCGTACAAGACGTTTCCAGTTCGTACATACTTTTACGAGTACGAAATTGACGGGTCCGTTCTCGCTCAAAAATATTTTTCTAAGTATGGATCGTATTGTACAAACCCAGTTCGTACATGCCTTCCAAAGTACAAAAATGTGAGTCCCATTTCATCCTGATGTTTCGTTCAAAAGAAAATTGAAATGTTTTATAACAGATCATACCAGATGATGATGTCATCGTACGTACGCCATCTAGAGTATGAAATATTGGGGTTCCAGTTCGTACAAATAAAATTTAAAAATTTTATAACTATTCATCTCGGATGTACTTGGTTCATATCGGACGATGATCGAGTATGAAATGATTTCATACCAATTCATAACAAGTTCGTATGCAACAGTATTTGAACTATTTGTACATATAAAATCTGATCGTACTGTATGATTGTGTAGGCTCAAAATTAAAATCTTCAATTTTCTGGATGATTTTTCGTGTCGTTTGTATAAATGGTCCACTAAAAACTGACGTGAAATGTCTTTTCTTCGTGATTTTTTAAGGGAAATATAGGGAGAGAGTGTTTGAGAAAGATTTCTTGCTCATCGAGTGTGGAGGGTTCACAAGGTTACTCAAAGGTAAGGATCTATGCATGATTTGTGTTTTTCACTCTTCCTCTTGTATTTCTAGAATGCTCGTGAGAAGATCTTTGAAGAAGACCTGGTTCTCTGCCGACACTTAGTAGAAGTGGAAGGATAACAGTTCTCTGTCAATACTTGAAGAGTGTGAACAACCGACGATTCTCTACCAACACTTAAAAAGTGTGAAAGGATGACGGTTCTCTGCCGACACTTGAAGAGTATGAAAGGATGATGGATCTCTACCGCACCGGGGATTGGTGGAAGTGAGTTTTGTAAAGGATTCTCCACCTTGTTTTGAGGGCAAAAGGGGAGTCACTTTGGTAATAGTGTAGTACCTGAAGAGGAAGTCTTTAGGGAGTGGATGTAGATCATGTTTGACCGAACCATTATAAATCTTTGTGTCATTTAAATTTCTGCATTTTATTTACTATAGTTTTTATTCTGTGTTTGAAATTTTTGTTTTCAAATATTATCAATTAACTTGCTACGAATCTTTAAAGATTTTCAATTTTTAAATCCAAAAGTAATTTTTAAAATTACCAATTCACCCCCCTCCTCTCTTGGTTAGCCTTGGGACATTAGTTTAGGTTTAACAACCTAATCAAGATTCAATAAGTGGTTTCAGAGCTTTGTTTTAAAACCATAAGTTTAAACTACTTTTTGAAAAACGAGTATGACTACTTTGGAAACTGAAACACACCCGAAGGATACTCGATCACTAAACCTCCATTATTTGATAATATCCCTCTTGATTTTGAGAAAACATGCATGTCCACATTTTTACAGTCACTAGATTATCGTATATGAAACTTAGTTCAAAATGGATATACAAAACCAACTAGATTGTTGATGGTATTAGAGTTGAAACGCCTTTTACAGATTAGATTGTAGAAGAATATGACTTAGCACAATTTAATACTAAATATTTAAATATTTTATTTTGTACACTTAAGTCAGAAGACTATATGCTAGTTTCTACTTGCAAAAGTGGAAATGATATATGGGATAGATTTTGTATTATTTATGAAGGGATAAATGAAGTAAAGCAATCTAGATTAAACATCTTATTACATGATTATGAATTATTTCACATAAAATCAAAAGAATCCATTTCTAAAATATATACAAGATTTACTCAAATTGTCACTTCTTTACATGTATTAGGTAGGGAATAAATAAACACTGAAATGGTTAATAAAATTCCCCGTTGTTTGCCTACTGCATATGATGCCAAAATAACTGCTATTACAGAGTCTAAAGATTTGAATATTTACTCAATTGATAATCTTCTTTATTCACTAATTGTCTATGAGCAAGGAGTGAGTCAATGGAAGATTTATGTAGGTGAATAGTAAAAGGAGAAGAACATTGCATTGAAAGTGGAGGAGTTAGAGAGTGATCTTTCACAACCTGGGGATGAGGACGACATTGCCTTAATAACTAGGCAATTTAGAATTTTTCTTAAAAAGAAACAGAAGATATGCCAATAGTGGAACAGAGATAAGTTTAATAAGAATGTTAAGATTTATAATAATGTAATTTGCTATGAATACAAGAAATCAGAACATATAAAATTGAAATGCCCAAACCTAAAAACCACTCCTAGTAAAGTGAAGGTAGAGGAAAACCCAAATGTGAGGAAGAGTCAAGAAGAGATTTCAAAGAGCTTTTGGGTAGGAGCAGCTTAAGATTCGTCAGAAACAGAAGAAGAGGAGGAAGTCACCATTTTTTGCTTAATGGCCGATAATCTTGATCAGTCAGATCAAGAAGAGGTATGTGACTTGACCTATAATGAATTGTTAAAAGTTTCAGAAAGAATTCATGATGCATATAGAAAGCTTAAGAAAATGCATGCTAATCTGAATTTAGAAATGCAAAAATTTCAAAGAGAATACGAAATTCTTAGAAAAGATCATGCATTGATAGATAATAACCACATGAGCTTACTTGATGAAATTAATTACTTGAATAAAAAAAATGAAATTTTAAAGTCATCCTATGCTAAATTGGAAAATGATTTCAAAGTTTTTAAGGATGAATTTGAAAATAGAGAACACTATTTGAATTATGATATTAATATATTGAAAGATGTAAACACAATTTTTAAGTTGAAAGTGAAAGCTCTCGATGAAAATAGGAAACTCCCAACACTTGAAGATTTTACAAATACTATTTTGAGGCCAAAATTTTTAAAACCTAGGAAGAATCAAAGTTATTATTGAAAATTGAGATCGAAAACCATTTCCTGGAGTAAAATGCTTTTCTTGTGGGATGATTGGACATATAGCACACACTTGTACATTGGATAGAAAAACTCATTTAGTGTGGAAACCAAAGATGTATAAACCTAATCATATCATACATGCATTTAGTTTTATTTTGCCAAAAAGAGATCCCAAACTTGTTTGGATTCCAAGATCTAACATTTGATAATTTTGCAGGAACACTCTCATACAAGGCCTCATGAGAGCATTTGGTACCTAAACAGCAGTTGCTCAAAGTATATGACTAGAGACACTAAGCAATTTATATTGCTGGAAGCCAGAAGTGGATGCATGGTTACACTTGGAGATAACACCACTAGAAAAGTGGTTGGATCAGGTATGATCGAAAACTTGCAAAATTTCTTTATTGAAAATGTGCTACTTGTAGAAGGCTTAAAGCATAATTTATTAAGTATTAGTCAGCTTTGTGATAAAGGATACAGTATAAAAATTTTTTCCACTAACTCCATATTAAGCCTAAATGATAATGATTTTTTGCATGGATTAAGGGTAAAAAATATTTATATGCTATATTTAAATTGTATTAAAACTCCTAATGCATTTTATTTGAAAACTATTTATGATGAATCATAGTTATGACATAGGAGACTCTATCACTTTAGCATGAAAAACCTTAAGAAAATTACCCAAAAAAAATTGGTGAGAGATATACCAAAACTAGACTTTACAAAGGATCACCTTTGCGATGCATGTCAATTAGGAAAATAGGTGAAGTCCTCTTTTCAGTCTAATAATGATCTTAGAACTAGTAAATCTTTAGAGATTTTATATATGGATCTTTTTGGACCGGTTGAAACTGTAAGTCTAGGAGGGAAGATATACGGATTTGTGATTTTAGATGATTTTTCTAGATTCATTTGGGTTAAATTCTTATTTCATAAAAGTGGATCATTTGAGGAGTTTAGAGATTTTTTGACTTGGATTCAAAGGAAGCTAAGATGTGAAATTTTAACAATCCAAAGTGATCATGACGATGAATTTGAAAATAAAAAAATTGAGAATTTTTGTACATAAAAAGGAATTGATCATAATTTTTCTACCCCTAGAACCCCTCAACAAAATGGGGTAGTCGAAAGAAAGAAAAAAATATTAATTGAAGTCACTCGAGCCATGTTGGCTGAATATTCACTTCATAACTCACCGGCTCATCTTCCACCATGGATGCCTGTGTTTCTTTCAATGTCTCTAAGAGTCATAAACTTCCTTTTTCCAATAGTTCTTCTTCTTGTAATAAACCGTTCCAATTAGTGCATTCTGATGTTTGGGGTCCGACACCTATGTCTTCTTTAAATGGTTTTAACTACTATGTTATATTCATTGATGAATTCTCAAAATTTTCTTGGCTCTACATGTTAAAATAAAAAATGAAACGTTTGCTAAATTTAAACAGTTTCATCGCCTAATTAAAACCAAATTCAATGAAAATGTTCAGATTTTCAGGTCGACGGAGCTGGTGAATTCACCAGCGTAGAATTCCAAAATTATCTTCTGGATCATGGTATTACTCATCAATTGAGCTGTCCATACACTCCAGAGCAAAATGATATTGCCAAACGGAAGCATAGTCACCTCCTGGACTCGACCCGCACTCTTCTTCATACTGCATATCTTTCGAATATATTTTGGGTGGAGGCCATTTCCATCGCAAACTACCTTATCAATCGGGTACCCTCTACAACTATTCTAAATCAGACTTTACATGGGCAACTGGCCTCCTATATACATCTTTGAAATTGCTCTGATACCAATTGAAATTACTATATGCGACAAGAGGGGGGGGGGGATTGGATGATTAAAAACTTCTTTAATGAAAAGAAATATCTTTTTATGACTTTATGCGGAAGCGAATTTCATTCACAATAAAAAGATAGATAATCAATTTCATCCACGCAATAAATCGCAATAAAAAATATATACGGAAATAAAGTGCAGAAAAAATAAAGGAAAGAACACACCAATTTATAGTGGTTCGGTCAAACCATGACCTACGTCCACTCCCCGGAGGCACCCTCCGAGTATTAAACTAAACCTTTAGTGATTCTCCTTTAGCCCCCACAACTAGGCGGAGAAGCCCTTACACAATCACTTCCACCTTCCCCGGTGAGGCGGAGGAGCCGGGTCCTTTGACACCAACGAGATCTTTTTCTTCCCAAAACTTCCTTCAAGATGAACCTTTAATCTGATGGTACTGAGGTGCAAGCTTGCCGGAGCAACCGTGTGAAATCTCCTTCACACTCCCTTGAAACTCCCTCCAAGGTTCTTCTCCCTCTCTCAAAGTCCACCCTTTCCTCTCTCCCTTTCAAGTCCTCTCTTCAAGTTTTCTCTAAAAAACTGAAGCCATAATGGCTGCCAAAAGACTCTTATAAAGTCTTATGCGAGTGCTTAAATAGGGGCTCAAAAAACCCTAAAAGAACTCAATTCGGGTGTCAAATATCGTATAGTACAATCAAAAGATCGTCCAATACGATGTGCAGAAATTGACCTGTTAGTATTGTACGATGTCCAGTTAGTACTGTACGAAAAGTTCAATAAACGGGCAGTTCGCCAAAATTGTCTCTATTGATCGACCAGTACGATCAATACATGAAAATTAAGCCATATTTCTTGAATAATCAGCGGATTAAATTAGGCAAAATTTTAAACATCGTATAGTACGATCATTATCGTACAGTACGAGCAGAATAACTTTAAAATTCAAATTCTTGCCTAATTTAATGGACGGCATGCTTTCTAAATATAACAGATCGTACAGTACGATGTGGTGATCGTGCAGTACAATTAGTTATAATAAAAAATAATCTTTCCAGGAAAAATAAAATATTTTAATTTATTTTTGTTACACCAGATCATACAGTACGAAATAAATTCGTAAAATACAATGAACAAAAAAGTTAAAATATTTATAATCATTTTTTGCTCCATCTGTGTGTGTGCATGATCAAAAAACTAACATACATCATTACAAGACTTGACTCAATAAATGAAAATTACAGACTCATTTAATACGACCAATTCTATGCAACCTTGAGCCTTGAATCTTCAAAGAACGGTGCATGATATACCTGAAATATTAGTCAACATTGAAAGAAATATGCACTTCAAATACCAGGAGAAATAAAAGATTAATAAATATTATTTGTTATCATCAAAAATCATAAACTCGGAAGCCCGAGTTGCAACAATCTTCGCACCTTTGGGTGCCTTTGCTTTCCTTGGACTAAACCTCAAGCACCAACCAAGTTGTCGCCACGTTCACAAGAATGTGTCCTTCTTGGTTATTCATCGCAACACAAAGGTTATCGCTGTTTCCACCCATCAACCAAACGCCTATATATTTCTCGACATGTAGTTTTTTTATGAAAACTAGTTCCCTTTTCAATCAACACATATTGCAAAACCCACTACGCCGTCCCCGATCACTCACAATCCTCTTCTTCTTGTTCCTACCTCCTAAATTTCTCATAATTCTGCACCTTCAGCTCAGGACACTCACACTATGCATACCACTACGGCTCCTATCACGGTTCCTGATCCTGAATTACAACTTACTTCTGTTAACAATAATATTCCAGATACTAATATACCTATTCAGAGACACCCAATGCTTACTAGACTTCGCTCGGGCATCTCAAAACCCAAGCACATTTTTGATCTCTCTGTTATTCCGGCATCTACTCTTGCACCTACATTTTACACGCAAGCCTCTCAACACGAACTTTGGCGGTCTGCTATGTTCGCAGAATTTTTAGCCATACAACAAAATAGAACTTGGTCATTAGTTGCAGCCCCGCCTAATAAACAAATTCTAGGATGTAAATGGATGTTCAAAACCAAGCTTCATCCAAATGGATAGGTAGATCGACACAAAGCAAGACTAGTTGCCCAAGGATGCTCTCAAGAATTTGGTGTCAACTACACCGAGACGTTCAGCCCCGTCGCCAAAATGGTTACAATACGTATTTTGATTACTGTCGCATTGCATCATCACTGGTCGGTCACTCAACTAGATGTGTCCAATGCGTTTCTCCACGGCAAATTATTCGATGAAGTATATATGAAACAACCTATTGGATTTGAAGATTCTCAGCATCCGCAACACGCTGCAAATTACACAAATCTATCTACGACCTAAAGCAGTCACCCCGACAGTGGTTCCAGAAATTCACCACTTACCTTCAAACTCTAGGTTTCTTCTTCAGCAAAGCAGATCCCTCTCTACTTATTTTTCATCAAAATGATATTCGCTTATTCATTCTCATCTTTATGGATGATATTTTGATAACAGGAAATGACGACCAAGATTAAAAGCATTCTTCATCAGCTTCATTCTGAATTCCGCCTGAAACAACTGGGTGAAGTTGCGTTGTTTATCGGCATCCAGGTTATCAAAACCAACAACAGTTATTTCTTACATCAACAACATTATGCACGTGAATTACTTTCCCATGCAGGTTTCACCGATTGTAAACCATCTACAACTTCTATTGGTATGAAGCGAAGCAAAGAATTGATTGATAAAGCCTATTCTGATCCCACTCACTACCAAAAGCTTGCTGGATCACTCCACTATCTATCTATTACACGATCAGACATAGCGTTTGCAACCAATTATATATGCCAACATATGCACAATCCAATTAACATGAATTTTCAAGATCTCAAGCATCTCTTAAGGTACATCAAAGACACCATCAACTACGGTCTTCGCATCCAATCCGAAAATCTGATGCTTCGAACATATACGAATGTTGATTGGGCTTCTGACTCAGCTGATCGAAAGTCGATCACTAGTTTTTGCACTTTTCTCGGACCCAATCTGATCTACTGGTCCATCAAAAAATAGGTAATGGTTGCCAAATCTTCGATGGAAGCTGAATATCGTTCACTATACTCAGCTACTTTGGACATATTGTGGCTTCGTCGGCTCCACGAATAATTTAATCTAACGCAACGCAATTCTACACCAATTTATTGTGATAACACTTCCGCCATTGCTCTCGCTCACAATACGGTTATTCATGCCCGGATAAAGCATATCAAAATAGATTATCATTTTATTAGCAACCACATCAAGCAAGGAGCAATCACAATCAACCATATCAGTTCGACTGATCAGATAGCGGATGTCCTAACCAAGCCCCTTTCGGCAACCAGATTCAGCACACTCATATCCAAATTAACCATTCGCTCCCAGAATGATTAATTTGAGGCGGGCTGTTAGCACACTTGTACACGTCATATTATTTAGTTATTCCTGTATACGTCATATTAATTAGGTGTTGCATTTATTGTATTTGCTTATTAGACATTTGCCTATATAAAGGTCAGTATTGTACTTTTCTGGACATAATAGAATATTTTCCATTTCTCTGTTCTTCTCCGGTTTCTGTCTTTCTTGCCTTCGTCTTCTCTTCTGGCAAGATTGTTCTTCTTAGTTTAATTTTCTTCTTGTCCCTGGGCAAGAACTCTGTTAGATACACAAATCTTTCATGGCCTCCTTCCTCTCTTTGTTGAATGATGATAAATCCTCCATCAAATTACAACTAATGCACATAAGATGTGGGATGGGATGTCTGGACTCGGGATGACAGTGGATGTCAAGGGTTGATAGTGGGAGATTTAAGAGAGAATCACCAAATGAAAGAGATAAAGGGGATAGCTAAATAAGCGCACTAGTGAAAAAAGATTGTTACTTTAATAGTAAGCTGTAGTCAAGACTTCAGATCCAACATGAATAATAAGGCGAAGAAGATTCTTTATGTACTCCCATCATGACTTCAAATCCAATATGGACATTGAATAACATCATAGAAGAAGGCTAAGAAGCTTCTTTATCTACTCTTTCAAATCTTCTTCAAGTAAAGCATGCACTTTGAGTGGAAACAAACTCTGCATTTAATGAGAGGGTGAAGAGTGCAAACCGGCACAATGCATTTGGCGATAGGAAGAGCTGTGTTCTGCGAGAGGGGGAAGCTGCATTTATCTAGGCTCTTAGCTATGGAGCTGCCTTTTCACGAAGGTTTTATTTTTTAATTTAAGGAACCGTTTGAGAAAGTTAAAGGCTGGGCTTATGAAACCATTTGACTACTTAAAAATGAAACACTGGTTGTGAAGAAATGCACGGTTGAAAATGAAAAGCTGTGTTTGGTTGTAAACAAATGCTCGGCTAGTTATTTTTTTTAGTAATCCGTTCAACTACTTAATGGGTGAAATAGATGGGAGATCCTCTCAGCTATTGGAACCAAAATGCAAATGCAAGAGAATATGAAGAGTCAGAAATGAACATTATAGATTTATTTCAAATTTATAAGTGACGATCAAGATTTTCTATGGGAAGAATTTCAAGTTACACTTATATAGTAGTATAGATTAACCACATTATCTTCCTTCAATAAAATATTTGTAAGGTTAAGCTTTAACAATCAAATTTTTATTGGCTTTACATTTAGTTTTAATTCAATTCAATATTCACTCCATTTAACCATCACATTAAAGTGATTATTATTTTAAAAATTGGAATACTTCTCTTTATATATAAAACCTCACTTGAATACACCCTTCACTCTTATAAATTCAAAGGTAAAAGATATTGCTAAGGCAATATAATTTTATTATTTAGAATTGTACTTATCATGATAGGCATCTATAAAAAGGTAAGAATCATCTCATCCTAAGGCCAATTAGAAGAAGTTACAAATAAGCTAATAAGGATCTAAAAAAATGCTAATAAGAAGAACTCACAAATTAAAAAAAAAAAAAAAAAAAAGAGTTCATAAATGTTGCACTAATGAGGTGGGTGACTTCATGGAAAAGAGCATTAAGAAGGTACCAACAAAAGTAAAGTTCATGACATAAGTTTCCACAAGGAGTGACTTTGTATGAATGGATGCTGACATGAATTTAAATAATGGAGTGTTTCCATGAGAAGTAATCACAAGAGGTGACTATTCCAAAAAGATGCATTGATGAGAGGGAAGTTCCTTGGAGACCGATTATATGACATTTAGAGAGGGGGAGGCGAAGAGTGTAATGCCTCATAATCTATTTTGAAAGAATTATTCTTTTATTTTTTAATATATAACACTCAGAGCTACATAACTTCTTTTATCAATATAAATACAAGTGAAAATATAACTATTAATTACAATATTAATATATACATGTATATGTATTACCCAAAAAAATATATACAATACTCATGATATATACAATCATATCACAACTATTATATTCTGAGTATAAAATAATAACTAAAATAATAAGAATCTGAACTTGAAAAATTCTTGTCAATCTCACACTCTTACTCTACTGCCATAATATGAAATCATTTAACCATATATAATGAGCTAAAGAGCTCATCAAGTAACCAAATCTTACAACTAACTCAACATACAGTAAAGAAGTAATATGCATGTTAGTAGTTAAATAATAATAGTAGTAAGTTATAGTCAAATTGAGCGGCTTGACGAGATGAATCCAATGAGCCCAAGATCATTAAATTCTGACTTCACTAAGACATTCAAATGTCAATCAAATAATCCATGATCAAGGGATTCAACATCGCCCGTCCATCCAAGCCACTCCCCATATGCCCTTGATCTCCAACCTATTTATGGGCCATGACACTCTAGGAAATCTATAAATAGTCCCTACTCCCTCTTGAAAGGGGGAACCAAGCAAGAGAGAAAGAGAGAGATCAGAGATCTCTCTTGCCGCCTCGCTCCTCCTTGAACACCGCCTGGAGTTTCTCCGAACCACCACTTGTGGTCCTCAGGTCTGACGGACCACCACATGATACCTAGAGTTCTATCGAACCACCACCCAAGGCCTAAACTTTTGTCAGACCATCACCTGACACCCGGAGTTCTTCCAGACCTCCACCTAATACCCAGAGTTCTACCAGGCCACCACTTGATGCCCGGAGTTTTGCCGGACCACCACCTGAGGCCCAGACTTTTGTTGGACCACCATATAAGGCCCAAACTTTTGCCATACAACCACCTAATGCCTCAAGTTATGCCAAACCACCACCTAAAGGCATGAACTTCTATCAGACTATCACATGAGGCTCAAAATTCTATCGGACCACCACCTGAGACCCAGACTACTACCGGACCCCCTCCTGATGCCCAAAATTCTACCAAACCACCACCTGAGGTCCGGACATCTGCCAGACCACCACCTGATACCCAAAGTTCTATTGAACCACCACTTGAAGATTGGAGTTCTACCAGACCACCTATTGAGGCGCAGACTTCTATCAGACCACCACCTAAGGTTCAGACTTCTACCGGACCACCACTTAAGGTACAGACTTCTGCCAGACCACCACTTGATGCCCAGAGCTCTACCAGAGCACCACCCTACCACAATGATCTTTCTGACCTCATTCTCTTGCTGACTATGATCCTTTCGACCTCTGTTGCCTACTATAATTCTTCAGACCTCCATTGCCAGATAATGGTCTTTCTAACCCTTATCTCCAACCAACTACAGTCCTTCTAACCTCCGTCACCTATGACAGTCTTCCTGACCTCTATCCTATCAAATATGGTACTGCCAACCAAACAAACATATATATGTTGATTATTGTAACTCCCACCATGTAATGCGCTTTATATGATGCACATTTGTGACATCGAGCCAAGGCCTTCTCTTAAGGAAGGGCCTCATTTGTAATTGACTACAAATAATAGTAAATTTATTCAAACTCGGCCAAGCCCCATGATTTTCCCCCTTTTCAGGGGTTTCCACGTAAAAATTAGAGTCTCTTATAAATGCTACACCCTCTCTCTCTCTCTCTCTCTCTATATATATATATATATATATATATATATATGTAACAAAGATGATTTGTGATTTTGACTTATAATGACTCATAAAAAAAAATTCACTAAGTTAAAATATGAGTTATTACAAAGAGGCCATACTTATATAGTATTGGGTAGCCTAGAGATGAAAGGTGTTTATGATGCTGCATATGGACTGAGTATGGATAGTGTATTTGTAGATATGTAGAAAATACTCAGTAAATACTCACAACTAATGATTAACTTAATATTTGCTGCATATCTAAAAATACGCAGTCGATACGCAACATTCGAACTACTCTTTGCATTCGGAGTCCGCACAAAATAATTTCTCCTATGAATGACCCATGAGAGTTCTTTGCGATTAGATATATGATAGGTCATAAATTGGCACTAACCATACATAAATGTTTGTTGGCCAAACTGATAAGGCATCAACTCGATAAATGAGGTGTATTAACTAATGATAATTTTAAGCTTAACAAGATGTTGGTTGGCCCATAGAGGAACTCAACTCAATAAGATATTTATTTAAGAATAATTCACTAGAAACCTAACAATCCTAAAATAATTTAGAATTGCTTAAGGGCCTAAAAGACTTCATGCAAACTAGTCTAAGACTTGACTTTTAATTTTAGTTGGACATATTCTCTTAGTGCTCTAAAACATGCCCAACTATTAAATTGAGGTGGTTATAGTTGTCTTCTAAAGATACTTGTCTTAGCTAGAGCAATTATAAAAATAGAATAATTTGTCAAGACAAGTGCTCCCTAATTTGAATGCTAAAGGGAAGGAATTAAACTAGGCGACCAAAAACAGTTGAAAAAAGAGTTATGGACGGTAAGTTGCTCAGTAATAGTATGACGCACGTGGAGATGGAGGTTTCTTAGGCCAACATTAATGATTATTGGATTGGGCTTCAGAGATGGACTTCAAGCCCACAAGATAGGTTTTCGTTGGGTTGGACGAGTAGACCCAGCCCATTTAATGCTGAGTTAGGGTTTTTCCGAAAGCCTATAAGACCCCAACTCCGCCTCTTTCGGTGCCGCGACCTCTTGGAGCGAGAAGCTGCGGCAGAGGAGAACTAGCCATGGTTAACGTTAGCTTTTACAGGAACTGTAAGCTTCTTTCAAATTTCAACACTGCCTCGATCCTCTGATTCCTTGTAACCTTTTCCAATTTCTTTGTTTCGTCTTCCTGGCTTGAAATTTTCATGGTGTATTGGCTGATTTAACGTAGCTTTGTATTTTAACTTGTGTTTTATTTAGGTTAACTTGATTTCAGTCCGTTTGTTATGAGTTCCAAAACTAATTGTTTACATGATATTCCCGAATTGCAGACATCTTTTAATAAAACTTCATCGTATGAAATCTGGATATATTTCTGCAAGTAGTTTGGATCTGGACCGGAAACCCTATAATGATAGTTCTTGATATATTTGTTGAAGTAGTATGGATCTTGATTGAAAATCCTAGCATGATTGCCGTAATTTGGTATTATATTATTTGTTGTAACCTTAGATGGGAAGACCTTCAAGAAGCCAAGGCGTCCGTACGAGAAGGAGCGGCTGGACGCGGAGCTGAAGCTGGTTGGAGAGTACGGGCTTCGGTGCAAGAGGGAGTTGTGGAGGGTTCAGTATGCCCTGAGTAGGATCAGGAATGCAGCGAGAGAGCTCCTGACATTGGATGAGAAGAACCCAAAGCGGATTTTTGAGGGTGAGGCTCTGCTTCGCCGGATGTTTAGATATGGGCTTCTGGAGGAAGGGCAGAACAAGCTCGACTATGTCTTAGCTCTGACCGTGGAGAACTTCCTGGAGCGCAGGCTTCAAACTCAAGTTTTCAAGTCTGGAATGGCCAAGTCGATTCATCATGCCAGGGTTCTGATCAGGCAGCGCCATATTCGGTATATATGTTTTCTTTTTCCTAGACGAATTGCGTATACTTTTTTATGATTTAATTTCTTATTTATTTGATGCATTTTGTGTCATTGGATACTCATTTGTTGTTGTTTTATCTCTTATGATACATTGAAATTTATCATGATTTCATTGTTTTAGATTTTTTTCACAACCAATAAACATTTTCTATTCGATTTACTTGTTTTGCAGTTTTTAGTTTTTAGTTTTTGTCATGCTCATTGCATGTCCTTTTAAAGTCATAATGATTTTAATTCTGAATTTATGATTCCTTATGAGTTTTAAGAATTTTAAATACCAATGTAAATTTTAAGAATCTGTAATAATGTTGCCGTTGCGTTTTGGCAATTTGACATTTATATTGTTTTAAAATTTTAATTTTGTCTAGGGACTATTAGTCTTCTTTTCAGACGCGTCTCATATAGGAAATTATTCCTCTGTTTCATTTTTCTTGGTGGTGTAAAATGTTTATGGTTTCTGCTGCCTAATGACATTTATTTATTTCAATAACTTTTCTAGTAGAAGCCACAACATGATGAGAATGGATTTCATATCTCACGACGGTCATCTGAGTGCACCTATGAGTGTTTCCTTTGATGAATGCTATCCTATATCTCTGATGATTGTAGGCAACTAAGCAAGTATCATTTAAGATTTTCTTTTGAACAATTTTTGGAATTTGGTTTTTTCCTTGTGCGATGACATCTTCTTTGTGTACATGTGAAGATTGTTTCAATTTTGATGAATAGCTACTTTTTTGTATAATTTACTCTTTATATTTTGTAAGTCTATGCATTCTTATGTATTGTAAGATTTTTATTTTAGTAAGGGGACATGATATAGAATGATGTTAATCCTTCTTTTTGTGTGAGGTAAAAGTATCAATCAGCTGACTTTCCATGTGATGCATTATCATAGTATTCAAAGGTTTGTGCTCAGTCAGTTTATGGAATTGTAACTATTTCGGATAACTTAATCTTGAATTTTACTGATCCTTATCTGTTTGAAGCTACCAAATGATGAGAATGGACTTATATCTCATGACGGTCATCTGAGTGCTCATCTATGGGTGTTTACTCTGATGAATTCAATCTCATTTCTCTGATGGTTGTAGGCAACTTACCAGTTATCGTATTCCAAATTCATCATTACTCTTTTGGAAATTTGTATATTTTCTTGTGCCATATTGATTTCTATGCATACTCTTGAAAACTGCTTTAGTTTTGATGGATGGGTGGTTATTTTGGATTAATTTTTCTTATATTCGTGTCTCTTCACCTTCATTTATAGTTGAATTTATCGTTAATGATGGTTAATTCAAACCTGTAGTTCCAGGTGTGGGTTAATCCAAACCTTTTCATTGTCATCGTGCTCTCTTTTTGATGGATTGATGCTGACGTTACAGATCAATTACAGATCAATTTTTCATGTTTCATTTATGTGGACTTGGATAACCTTGTTCATATATTGGCCGGAATATTGTGTTTATCTGAAGTTATTTTTCCAGATGTGTTTTATTCACAATTTCATATTAATTATGCTTGGTTTAAATATAATTAATGGGTAATTGCATTTCTGCATTGTTTTCATTAGCAATTTCCCACCTAACACTTATGAGAATCGGGAAGAAATAAATCTTCCTGTCATTGCTGCAACTTACATGTTCTTCCCTCTTAAGAAACATAAACTGAATTTATCATCAACCAAATAAAAGAAAAAATAAATATTTTCACTAAATTTCTTAACATAACAAGTGGTAAAAACTTATTTAAATTTTGCTCCCTTACTATTTACGTTTCCGTTTCCTCTATTATAATTCCTATAAATCGACAGAAACCTTTTTCCTCTATGTTGTGGCATTTTAAATCTGCTCAGCAACATAATGAAAATGGAAATAGACTGCTGCTCTGTGCAAGCTGTATGTGTACTTTTTAGTGTGGGCGTAAAATAGACCTGACCATTGGGGGCCTAAATTGAGGTCGGCCCGTCCAGACCATCCTTGTTTTCGACAACAATCTGGCCTTGTGTTGGTAATGTTACAAGAAAAAAAAAGAATAATTCAACATTTGTCTTTTGGCATGTAAATGCACGATATATGGTTGTAATTATTCATGTTTAACTTTTTATTTAATGATTGGTTTTGAAGTAGGTCTAACATATTAAACAAATAGTTTTAATTTGTAAGGATTGACATCTATTGAATTGTATAGTCTTTGCCAAGGTCGGCATTTTTCCTTTCAGCACTTAATCCTAGGGGCGTAAACGAGTCGAGCTGAGTCGAGTTTTGACATTATTGAGCTCAGCTCGTTAGTTGAAAAGCAAGCTCGAACTCGAGCTCAAATGGCGAGCTCGAACTCGAGCTTGTCCGTAAACGAGCTCGATCCGGCTCGTGAGCTTTGTCGGTCGTCCATGTCCGAGTGACTTTTCCGCGTCTGCCTCCGTTCGCTTCGTCTGCCTTCGCTCTCGCTGTCCCGCCCGCGGAACTCCTCCGTTCACAAGTCCCTCGACAAGCTCGCGATTCGAGCGTTGTGTTGTTCGAACTCGAGCTCGATAAGATGTCGAGCTTGAAATCTAGTATGAGCTCGACTCACGAGCTCAATAAGATCGACTCGTTGAGCCTGTTAACGAGTCGAGCTCGAGCCGGTTCACAACTCGGCTTGACACGGTTAATCCCCTACTTAATCCCATTGATTGATTGATTGATTGATGTAACAATAGATTTTTGTTTTATCATAACAAAATTATCACCTTTCTCTTAATATGATTTTTTTACTTGACTGCTCTTCGTTGGAATCATTTTCTTTGCATATTTTTGAATTTATGTAATTGTTACTCCTACGTGTTTAAATATTCTTTGTTTGCTTTGTGCATTTTTCCTGAATACTTTGGGCTGAAAAATAGTATGGAGTCCAGTAGTAATTCTTCATCACGGTTCTGTGGTATGCATTTGGATCCAATTTGACTAAGTTCAATTATCTTTGCAAGATTCTGAATCACATTTACTTTTCAGTTTCTTTCTCTTCATATGCATTCTTATTTTTTCATCATTTAGGTTTGCTGCTAGGGTCCCTTTTATAAAAATTACATAATGCCTTAAAAGAACTTTAGTTCCCTTTTATCTGATTTCACTAATCTTTTGTTTCTACAGTTGCACAATAGCTCCATTTTTTTTCACCGTTTGCTCGCTTTGACTACTGTTTTTCCATGTTTATAATGGTGTTTTGCTCGGCTTCTTGATATTATTTCCTATATATTAATAAAATCATTAGTTTTTCCATCAGTTCTCGTATCTAATGCGTCTCTTCCTGTTAACACGACAAATTGTTGACTAATCGAAATCATACAAGTTAATTGAAAGTGCTTTTGAAGAAAGGTACTTGTAAAAACTATGTTCTCAGCTGTCACAATGCGCTTAATGTGAAACTCGAATCATCAAAACTTTGTTGGTGGCTTTGGTTTGCTGTACTGTTTTTTTTTTTATTTTTTTATTTTTTCTCATGGTCTTCTTATATGAATTTTTATTTATGCTTCCATTTATTCATAGATATATGTGAAGAGGCTGGAGTAGCTCCTCTGACAGATAATATTTTAGTGAGTCACATCAGATGGTTTGGTCAAATAATACATTTTTCCTTTCAATGATCTTGTTAGGAAAGTAGATGTTGATCTGGCCTATGTTAAGAAAGATAGAGATATGCATAAAAAATTTTGATTAGGAAGTATTAAAAATGAGCAGACCCTATGTTGTTGAATAAAGGCTTGTTTTTTTCATAACTTCTCTCTTGGGTCCTAGATTGTTGCAAAATAAAGTCTAATGTCCTATCTACCAATCATGACCCCTTTAGCTTCAGTTTTCTTTTTTGGACTGTTGATTATAAAATGCCAAATGTGCAATCAAGTTGTAAGTTTAGCGTGAAAATTTTGGGTATCAAAATTTGAGCAAGTATGTCTCAAATCAGTTGGACTTTCTTTAAGATAAGTGCACTTTTTAAGGAGTGATAAAACCATATCATATTTATGTCATAGCAAACCTAATGATTCTTAAATTATGTGGAAAAATTTTAGATCAAAATATTTTCATCAAAATTTGATCAGAATGCATCTCAAAGTTATTTGATTTACATTAAGATTAATATTATATATAAATGATCAATTAAAATTTAGATTTTTTTCGTATCAAAGTAAATTCAATAATTTATCTTGATAAAAATTTTGTTCAGTTTTGCTGAGGTTTTTTTTTTTTTTTTTCTACTCCTGATTTTGTTTGATGAACAGATGAAGGAAATATATTTTCTTATCTGTATGAACCCCTTTGTTTGTAGGGTTGGAAGACAGGTGGTGAATATTCCATCATTTATGGTGAGGGTTGATTCAGCTAAACACATTGATTTTTCACTCACCAGTCCATTTGGTGGCGGCCGTCCAGGAAGAGTCAAGCGGAAGAACCAGAGAGCTGCGGCAAAGAAAGCTGCTGGTGGTGGTGGTGATGATGGTGATGAAGAAGATGAAGAATAAAACTGAAATGTTCTTTTGAGACTTAATTTACATTTTTCAGATTATATTCTCTTTCCATCTTTAAGTCATTTTAATAGTACAAGTAGTCTTTTTTGCACGATAATGCTTTGAACTTGTGATTCTCAGGATTCAATTTTGATTGAATGATTAAAACTGTGGATGGATTAGTTTTAGATTGGTTATTGTTACAGTGGTTTCTGGGATTATTTTGGCATCATCGGCGATGTCAAATATGCGATCTAATCGGATGGAAATCAAGCATACATGCTTATGTCAACTGCAAGATTTTATTTGAAATAGTGTCAGAATTTTTTTCCAAAAAAAAAAAAAATAGTGTCAGAATAGGATTGATTAGGCCTTCTGCCATCGCTGCATGATCGTTTTGGGAAATGCTGCTGGTTATTTTGAACTGTTTAGTGAGCAAGCGGGCTCAAATTTTATTATAAGTAAACCTGCAAAAAATTAAGTTTTGAAGTAGCCAAACAGAACATTTAAAAAATAGATTGATGAATATAAAATGTAAAATACCACCTCAAATTTCAATCAACAGAAAAAGAAGCATCCAATGATCTTGTACGGAGGCAATAAGCCTGCTAATATTCACTTAAAAAAATATATGTTATTTTAATTTCCTGATTTTATTTGAGCATATATAAAAATTTACAGCAGCTAAAGTTTTTATCTTACCGGAGCCCTCCTGATCTTACGAATATAAAACTATATAATCACTTGAGAGTCAAAATGACCAGCTGCCAAGCACTACTCTATGGTTTCTGCGGTGAACTTCTGCTGGCTGCCTTAATTAAACTGATAATTATCGAAAAATAGAAAAAAAATATGCACAACCCAATAATTGCTGCTTCATTTCTCGACCCAATTTTAACCTGCTAACAGTTCCAACTCGTTGTATAAACCTGAAATCCAGTAGTCATCGACAAGTTGGCACTGTTCAAATTTGCAGAAAAGGTGGGTATCACTGGACATTATTTATAACTGCTATTCTGTTTTCCAAAATTTTCCATATTATTCTAAAGTTTTGATTTTCGTGCAACAGTCGGTTTGTTTCCATGAAGCTTGGCTTTAGTATTTCTTCTTCTAAGAATAGCTGATAATTTATGTTGGTCACAAAACACAATCTCTCACAGTAGCCACTCTTCTAACAGGAAAAAAAAAAAAAAAATTTATCATAACTTTGTGTTTCTCTCTCTTTATTTCTCTAAACGGTACCGCTGAAGCTCTTTCTCTGATTAGTCAAATAGGCATTGTTGGTGCGAAATCGAAATCGCTAAAATCTGCACTTACAGTGATGGCGAAGTTGCCGAATTATTTGTTAGTTAATTTTTTATGTTTGCTGTGTTAGAATAATTAAATATATTAATTATGTGAGACGTCGCAATAATTATTTAAGAATATATATTTAATTATATAAACCATTATGTGGCCCATATATTTGAATTATTGCAATTTAATTATTTATGTTTAAATCCTATGGGTCAAGAAAAGATAATTTGATCATTCGTTTATGGTCCGTTTGATCAAATAACTCATATGAGCGGTTATTATAAAATAACTCCTTTGAG